TTTTTTCATCCTGGACAATTTACAACCTAATTGTAAATTATATTGTCTTAACAAGCGTGGATTAAGTATTTTTAAAGATGTATGAAGTTGTATACAATCTGTATAAATACTGGAATAAACGAATCTTACAATTTAAAACAGAGATCATTAAATGTTGCACCAACATCAATTACAGTTTTTTTTTTTTTTTTTTTTTGAAAATGGATAAAATAAGACTTTTTAATTAATTTTAACAGATTAGAGTGAATTAAGGAAAACAAATATTCCTAATTAGGTTGAATCTCCTAAATTTATGCTTAATTAATAATTATCATCAATCAATTCAAATTTAATTAATACATCTATTTCCATTTTTTCAGTTTTTTTCTTTATTATTTCTAATTCCGTTTTTTTTTTAATTTCCGTTTATCTTTTTTTTTTTTAAAAGTTTTTTCCAATTAATTAAAACATTTCTTTTTTTTTTGTAATTTTGTTATAACCTGAAATTTTTAATGCTATAGCGTGAAAGTCTAAATCTACTGCTATAGCTTGAAAATAGTACTATAATATATGTCATATATGAAATTTACACTCCATATTATTACTATAGATGATAAATATATTTTTAATATAGTATATCTATGTAAGTTTCACAATTAATATTGCATGAACAAGGGATATTGTTTGGGTTTAATTCATAATAGCCAGGGCGGACCTACATGTAAAGGTGGGGGTGCATGTGCATCCGTTAACTTCGAAAAAATCACGTGTATATATATCTATCTTGAGAAACTAATATAAAAAGAAATATTAGAAAAGTGCACCCATAATGAACATTGAACTTCCCTTAATCTGCTGGCAGAAGTGAGGAAATATGTCTTTGCAGACCCAGGTTCGATCCTGGTCAACAACTCTTTTTTTAAACTCTTTTTATTACAAAGTCAAGTGTCCATTAAGCATTGAAAATTTTGCTTCGCTTATGCTTAAATATTATTGGTGCACTTATACTCTTCAAATCCTGGGTTCGCCTCTGATAATAGCTTAACTTATAGTTCATGGTATGTAATTGCCTTTTTTTCTTTGTTGGAATTTTTCCTTTCTGGTTTTAGTTGGGTTTCTTTTTAATTCGGGCACAGTTTATAGTGATTAATCAGGAGTGCCTTATATATGGTATTCCCTCTATTTCAATTTATCCCGCACATGACACACTATTATTTCTATATTCCATTTTATAAAGAATATCCCATTTTTATAAATAAAAATTTAACTTAAAATTTTCTTTTTATCCTTAATGATGTGATTTATGCCTACACAAATGATCTAGGAGTAATAAACCATAAATTTTCAAACTCTTCATTTCTTAAATTTTATATTCAATTAAATGATGTAACATAAATCGAGACGAATAAAGTATATATATGGGTTCAATTTTTTTCATTGGTGATGGCAGAGATCACATCTCCTTACTAAAACTATTTGCAGTCTTACCAACAAGTCTTACCAACTTATATTTACTATGACTAGCTTCAATAAAAAGAAATTTCAACTCCACTTATAACTTTTGGTGACGTGGCAGAGGGGTTTATTAACTTTTACGCACATAATTTGGAAATTATGCTAAAGTAAGGGTAGCTTGTGGAACTTTAAACATTTTCTTGATCAGTTTAATTAAGTATAAACTATATTAGTTTTTCTAATTATTGATAAAATTTCTCATCTCAATAATAGATATGCAATTAGTTTGAACAGAAAGTGAACAGGGATGTGAGAGTTCCGTCCTTCACTGGTGAAGGATTAAATCCCATTCACCCCTCCCTAAAAAAAAATAAGAAAAGTAAAAGGAAGTGAACTCGTGAATTTTTCTTCAACTAAGGCTACTACTTAAAAATAATTTTTATTTCCCCTAAATCTTGATAAAACAATCTATCACTGTGATCAACAAAATTATAGAACGTGAGAATACATAGGTTTAAAGATAGTGTGTTAGTTGTGTAATAAATATCTTAATGGAATATTTCCTGATGAAGGCTAAAAATATTTGATAATCTTGCAAATGAAATTCTATTTAGTTAGGGAAAACTCATTTAATAGTTGAGCCCCATTGTCCCAACTAAAATTTCATAAATGTTCTTTTTGCATGCATGGTCCTATAAATTTGGTCCCTTTTAACGTTATTTTACATACTCAACATAGAGATTTGAAAGAATTATAACAACTAGTATTATGGCTATCATATCAGGGAAGTGGCTATTTGTAGTTTCAGTTTTAGTAGTTAGCTCATTCTTAGAGCTCACTAATGGAGATCAACTCACTGATGAATATTCATCTCATGATCCAACTCTTCGTGAGTCTTTAAGATTTGGGATTCCAAGAATTAAACCTAGACCTAAGGCTCAACATGGACATCGTCGTCCCCTTAGTCCTCGGCCTAAGAGGCCACCTTCTCCGCCACCAGTTCAGACTCAACATCGTCCCCCTAGTCCTCGGACTAAGAGGCCACCACGTTCTCCTCCACTTCTTCCGCCACCAGTTCAACCTCGACATCGTCCCCCTAGTCCTCGAACTAAGAGGCCACCCCGTTCTCCTCCACTTCTTCCGCCACCAGTTCAACCTCAACATCGTCCCCCTAGTCCTCGGACTAAGAGGCCACCCCGTTCTCCTCCAGTTTTTCCGCCACCAGTTCAACCTCAACATCGTCCCCCTAGTCCTCGGACTAAGAGGCCACCCCGTTCTCCTCCAGTTTTTCCGCCACCAGTTCAACCTCAACATCGTCCCCCTAGTCCTCGGACTAAGAGGCCACCCCGTTCTCCTCCAGTTTTTCCGCCACCAGTTCAACCTCAACATCGTCCCCCTAGTCCTCGGACTAAGAGGCCACCCCGTTCTCCTCCAGTTTTTCCGCCACCAGTTCAACCTCAACATCGTCCCCCTAGTCCTCGGACTAAGAGGCCACCACGTTCTCCTCCACTTCTTCCGCCACCAGTTCAACCTCGACATCGTCCCCCTAGTCCTCGAACTAAGAGGCCACCCCGTTCTCCTCCACTTCTTCCGCCACCAGTTCAACCTCAACATCGTCCCCCTAGTCCTCGGACTAAGAGGCCACCAGTACTTCCGCCAGTTGAGGAGCCACCAGTACTTCCGCCACTAGGTCAGGATCCACCAGTTGAGGAGCCACCGGTTATTCCGCCACCAGGTATTCTGCCACCAGGTGAGGAGCCATCGATACTTCCACCACCAATTGAGGAGCCACCAGTGCTTCCGCCACTAGGTGATGAGCCACCAGTTGAGGAACCACCAGTGATTCCGCCACCAGGTGATGAGCCACCAGTTGAGGAGCCACCAGTACTTCCGCCACCAGTTGAGGAGACACCAGTGCTTCCGCCACTAGGTGAAGATCCACCAGTTGAGGAGCCACCAGTGATTTCGCCACCAGGTGATGAGCCACCAGTACTTCCGCCACCAGTTGAGGAGCCACCAATGCTTCCGCCACTAGGTGAGGAGCCACCAGTTGAGGAACCACCGGTGATTCCGCCACCAGGTGAGGAGCCACCAATACTTCCGCCACCAGTTGAGGAGACACCAGTGCTTACGCCACTAGGTGAAGAGCCACCAGTGCTTCCGCCACTAGGTGAGGAGCCACCAGTGATTCCGCCACCAGTACTTCCGCCACCAATTGAGGAGCCACCAGTACTTCCGCCACCAGTTGAAGAGACACCAGTGCTTCCGCCACTAGGTGAAGAGCCACCAGTTATTCCGCCACCAGGTGAGGAGCCACCAGTGATTCCACCACCAGGTGAGAAGCAACCAGCACTTCCTCCACCAGGTGATGAGCTACCATTGCTTTCCACCATGTCGCTGCGAATACAGTGACGGCTACGCACCGTCTCCATCACCATCACCAGGTGTGTGATAATCAGCCATGAGATATGCTGATACCAGAAATTTAGTAGTAATATGTTGAGAAATGAATATAAAGTTAAGTATCGTGTACTAATACAATAAATATAATGGTTCTAGATTTTCAATCTTCTAATAATCTCTTATTTATCTTGGATTTATGATGAAATAACGTCATTATACTATAGAAAACATATAAACAAATATAAGAATAATCGGACCTACAATCGGAGTTATACCACCAATTATATCATACTTCTTAATTAACTATATAAATACATATAGCCAACCGATTTTTATTTTTCTTAAAGCCGTCTTGGGGTGATTGAGGGTTTGACAATGATCCCTATCTGTAAATTAAAATCCAAAAGGTAACTACATTTACGATGGAGACATAAATCATAACCTCCTAAAAAATATTATATCTTCACAATTTGAGACTCTATTGTTAAAGCAGAATGTGTATGATCTGCTTGTTGAGCAAAGATTATCCTCTTCTTAACAATTAGGATAAAAGAAGAGTAGATTTAATTATAGCTAGGGACAGAGTAATATAATTTTTTTGTCGTATCCTAAAACTAGCAACCTGATTTATGTCCTCTAGCTTGCTCAGGGAGGTTGGTAGGTTGTGATACCATTTGGTTCTGTTCATCATGGAGCCAGTCTTTGCGACTTCATTTGCCTCCCAAAAAAAAAATGTATGAGTTAAAAAATTGAAGAAAGATACATGGACATGAGTCATGACAATGGGGTTTGACACAATTTTATAAAAATTTAATGTAGGGCGGAGCGTTTGAAATTCGGATGAGTCCAATTGTCTAAAATGAAACACATTTCGTTTGAAGTAAACCAAATCAGAGTTTTTTCGTTGCAAATACTGTTGTTAAAATGATAGTACTACGATCTTTCGCAAATTAAGGCAATCAAATGGCTTCATGAAAAATGGTATTATTTATACAGTAATAATTCTATTCTTACCTAAGCTAATAGATCAAATATCTTATCAATCTCTTTTAACTCAGATTAATATGTAATAAGAGCCTCATAATCTCAATGTCCAAGTCAAACAATTAATTCATCTTCTTACTGAATTCAATGAAACTAAAAACTAACACTAATCGCCCAAATGCCCCTATTTTTGGACGTCGACATTTAATTTTTGACTCTTTAAGTTTTAAATTTTCCTTCAACGTTTTAAATAATAAATAATTGGTTGAAAATATATACATAAATTTCCATTTTCAAATAATAGTATCTCATAGATTACATAATATTAATAAAATGTATGACAAGTTAAGTCTCGTACAAACTAAAAAATAACTTTTTGGTGCAGAAGATGATTTGCGCCATGGCATCTTACCAAATTAAACTTTTACAAATTCTTCTTGTAAGTATTTTCTTAAATATAAATTCCATAAATTCGTAAAAATATCTCAACAAATATTGACTTCACTAATAACATTCGTGTGTTTTATCACCGGTTGAAAATCTTCTCATTTACCTGAGAACACTTACTTAATGGAGTAACAATTAGGGTCAGTTGGTGTGAGGGATAAAATAAAGAGGAAATTACGCGGTTAATCAAACTTATACTACTTAACTACTCATCATAGTTATAGTTTGCTATAATTATCACTCGTGACTAACATTATACATAATTATGTGGGCTAGCATCGAGTTTGTATAATTAGTCGTTTGTATATGTATAATTTGCCAATATACAAATACATATGTATAATATACAATTATCTAACCGATATACATATACAATTCACCTCTCT